TGCTCCCGGCCACACCCTTGCCTGCAGCCCATTGGCCTGCCAAGCAGGGGTGGGCCAATCACACCCTGTTACCAGGTGGGTGGCACCCGGCCAGGTAAGCCCCACATGGGGTCGCAAACTCCGCCCACCCGTTGGGAGGAGGTGAGCAGGAATTTTCATCTGAGAGGCATTCCCAAATAAGATCAAAGCTCATTCAGCAACAGTGCCAATGAACAGTACAAAGGGACACTCGTTTTCACATTGTTTAAGTCTGTTGTTACGGTAGGAGCTCCTGAGTCAGAATATTTAAAGCAAATTGAAAGCATTTTCCACTGTGGCAGGTACTATCTGTTTACAAGGCTGCAGATATAAAGCCAAATATTTGGCTGCTTATTTCATATCAACATAGGAATGCATGTCTTCGGCCTCAGCTGTGAGGCCCCTCCAGCCTGCTTTGGACAGCAACTAACCTTTTCTATATTGAAGAGCCGAGGAGGCAGCCCAGGTGCTTTGGCCTGTAGCATAACTTGCTAACATCTGTGCTCTAGGCAAGGAGAAGTTGGTGAACTAATGCCAGGGCACCTGCCCTGAGCTGTAAAGCAACCAGTATGGAATCTAGAGTCTGTCACAAGAGAGTATCTGTATGGAAGCAGTTGCCTGGAGAAATTGTTAAAACACCATATCTAGAGGTTTCTATTTCTACAGCAAGACTGGATAAATGCCTGTCAGGAACAATTTAGTTTTAGTGAGCATTGCTGCAGAGTAGAAGATTGGACTTGATGACCCTGCAAGCCCCTCATACTTCTATTACTCTATAAAGCAATACCCCAGTTAATAACGTCTCTTTGCCTTGAAATTCATTTTGACTCATTTAACTTGTGCTTAAATAGCTATGACTAATGATTCAATCGCTAGCAAGAACAACAGGGGAGAAAATGGGGATCTTGACAGGGAAAGGCAGTTGAATGGTTTCACAACCATTAATAATGATGATCATACCAGGGGTTTCATATACATTTTAGGTAGCCTTGTGGAAGCCAGAAGGATCACAAATGAGCTGCTACATGTGAATTAATTTAAATCCAGTATCTACATTCTGGTAGCCCTTTGCAATCCTACATTCTGGAAGCTTCCAGATGTGGGCTTAATAGTGAAAACAGATCATTCAGATATCACAACTGGGTCCTTTGTGCAAGTTTTATTTTAAAGTTATTGGCTCTTTCCTGGAAAGGGTAAATCCAGATTAAACTGGGAAGGAGAAATATGGGCTGGCATTTTGATGCCACTGGGATTGTATGAACATTGTATATATGAAGATCACCTATCTGACAATAAACATCCATCTGGAAGCACCTTCCAACTCAACGGAGAACCAAAAACGGAGAATCATTTCAGTAACTGAAATGATCATGATGGGCTTAATGATGGGCAACAACATGATGGGCTTTAAATGGGTGAAATGACCCTCAAGGGCATCCTGCTCATCCATCATTTTATCTCCACAGCAACCCTGGGAGGGATGTTAATTAGAGCGATAGTGAGAGACCCACAATCACCTAGTGAGCTTTATGACTGAGAAGGTTTTGAACCCAGTTCTCTCTAATCCAGACATAGGCAAACTCGGCCCTCCAGATGTTTTGGGACTACAACTCCCATCATCCCTAGCTAACAGGACCAGTGGTCAGGGATGATGGGAATTGTAGTCTCAAAACATCTGAAGGGCCGAGTTTGCCTATGCCTGCTCTAATCTAAAGTCAGCACTATGCACTATATCACACTGACTGAAACCAAAGTACTTATAACTGGGCACTAGTGAGTGCAATGAAAATCCATTAAAATAATTGGAAGATTTACAGTATATTGTTTCAAGATGCAACTGCAACTAGAGAGACTATGTAGGTTAGCATAGCATTATCATATTAAGAGTACAAATCAGAACCCCATTAATAATTTACAATTTCAGAAATAAACACCCGAGATTAATTTCAGAACTCATCTTTCAGTGGCAAGCTGTTAATGGAATACAAATCATCCTATTTATACACCTGCTCTTCTGTATTTAAGCATCAGCATTCATTTTGAAAGTTCCATGACTAATGTGTAAGCATTCTATTCTTAGACATTTAATTAGATGCTTTCACAGGGGGAGCTCTCAAATGTACCTTTCTTACATGCTTGCACACCTTTACCTAATGGCTTTTTAAATGTGTAGTAACAAGTCTTCAAAGAGTGCAGAATGCTATACTACGCTCATTATTAGGAGGCATTTTATTCTGGCCCTTTCCCCCTGAAAGTTTTCCCTATTAGTGCATTCCTACCACTGTTCCATTGATAGAAAAGCAGGCATAATATTCAGCTACAATTTGACCACAATGGCACCAAAATACACGTCCAGCTTCCAGTGCACCATGAGTAATGGTTTACACTTATCATAAAAATGGCGGGTCTCTTTTGCTCCACAAACAATAACAATTCCACTTATGGATACAGTCAATTTGGGTTTTATGTTCCGTGACTAAAATATAACTAAACTTGCTTGTAGCTGGGGCCTACAGCTCTGTTTACATGACCTGATCAATTTGTGGAGACTAGAGACGGGGGCTAGCAGGTACAATCCTACCCAATCTCCTTTATTGAAACATCACAAAAGTTGGTGGGTTAAGATAACCAATTTAACAGAAAGCTGCTCAAGGCTAGTTGAGAGCATCTGATAGGTGTTCACTGATAATTATGAGCAGCTACTTAATCGGCATTTGGCAGACACTCTGCATTTTTCTAAGGCAATTGACCATGACTGTCTGAGAAGATGCTACTCATCAAGCAGCAAGTGCTCCCTGATGGCAAATAATCAGCTGAATATGTATTGTGGAAAACCAGGGCTCCAAAATACATGAGGAACTTCCATAGGTACAAGAGGTTCCCAGCTACTTTCCAATTTGTGAGAGGCAATAAAGCCAGGAGTGGAAGTGGGAGGACCAAGTCCTCCCATCTCCATTGTCTCATCTCACATGGTAATTCCTCCTTTTCCATAATGCCTGAAGATGCTGGAGGCAGTTCCACGGTAGTTGACAAATTGCTTACTCTAAAATTAACATGAGCTGCTACATACAATAGAAATCAGTGTCTTGAGCCTAGTTCTAAGTAGGTTTGCTGAGAAGTAAGTCTTACTAATTTCATTGATATTTCGAGTAAGAATTATTAGGTTTGTATCCTGAATTGCTTTCAGGATCAGTGTCATTGTATGAAACTTTAAACAACTATTGCCCTCAGTCCTTTCTGTTTCCTTGGTCTCTTGAATTGTGAGGCAGTATTAATCAAAGGACATTTTCTCTGTGGTTGTATGTTTAATGATAGCTTAAAGCCTCTGGGCTTGCACACTTGATTGAGTTACATCTTGAGGAAACTTTGGGGTCGAGAAAACCACCATAACTGACATAACTAAACCATTCTTAACTTTAAAAATAAACACAAAAATATGAACTGCATAATTCATTGCAATATAGTATTTTTCATTGGACTAGGCTACTGGAGATCGAACATAATGGATTATGTTCCATACCATCTTGTTTAGGGGGCTTAGAACATTATCTATCATTCCAGACCTTCAGCAGTCAGAGGTTTATGAGGAGGAACATAGCAAATAGAAATAACACCTATCCTCTCATCTATCATCTCAGAAGAGGAGAATCAGTTTAAGCAACAGGCATTAATTATCTGAACAGAAGAGAAACAAGTATTGGATCAAATGAAGCTTTGCTGTCGCAGTTCAGTTTGACATTTTAGTCTTTAGCCCTATATACACTGAGCTGGGAGTAAGCTCTGTTGAACTCTGTGGAGGCTACTTCTGAACAGACATGTATAAAATCGCTATGTTGACTGACGGTGCAATCGAAATGGTGGTAGGAAAGTTTTTGCCACCATCATCACCATGGAGTGGGCCTGTAAGTGAAACAAAACCTGTGTTTCATCAGATCGGTCATTAGTTTTCCCTCTCCAATTGGTCTACCATCATCCCTCCATTTCACTACCTGTAGTTTCTCAGAAAACCAGGTGAGTGGTTTCGTCAAGACACTACTGCATCCTCAATATTGTCAAGAACTTGAACTCAATGGCAAGCAATGGCAAAAAGAAAGTGCTGAAGAACCATCACAAAGCCATCTGAATCTATCATTCTCTGGGAACAGACCATTCAACTAGATAAGCCTGTAGATATTAAGGACATCAGGAAACCTAAGCCCTACATTATAGTGGTATAATTTCCACTGGTGGTTGTAACTGTGAAGACACATTTTCTTTTCTTTCTTTTCTTTCTTGAATTCTCAAGTTAGAAACCCATTTCTCTTGTTGTTTTAACTGGGTACCCTAGTTAATCACTCAACATGACTGCACCAGCCATTCATAGTGA